TTAAGGTAAACCCTAAACCCTAAATCATAAACCCCTAAACCCTGAACCCTGCGAGGACTGACCCGCAAGCCCTAGGCCCCAAACCCTAACCGCCCGAACCCCTGAAATCCATTAAGCCCCAATCCCCTTCGGGTTTAGGGTTTCCCTATTCCCTAAACCCTAAACCCTAAACCCTAAACCCTAAACCCTAAACCCTAAACCCCATCGAAAAGATCCTGAGTACCCAGATCCTGCAAGGACGGTCTCCAACAGAGTAGAGGCATCCCCGGGTTACATCCTATGCAGCCTATGCAATTCTACGAAACGGAGACGAGCTTCACAACGGAAGGATCCCGAAATTCAGAGGCTAAACTAACTTCTTGTGAGTCGTGCCATACGGAACCCCTGTACCAGGGACCGCTAACTTGCATAAACCCTATAAAGCACGCCTGTGGCCCTGTCGGACCCGCAAGGTAAAGGCCTACAAGGCCCCAACCCTTGCCCTCTCTCCCAACAAAACTCAAATCCCATAGTTCGATTTTGATTTCGGGGTATATTCTAGTTTACTTGTATGAGGACAATACGATATCAGGGAATACCATTGCTAACATTTACTTCTCATTCAGTCCTGTATATTGCCCTAAACCCTAGACCCCGAACCCTGTATACACCCTAAAGCTTAAACCCTAAACCCCACCCCCAAATCCGACACAAAGCGAGATGCTGCGGGCTTCGGCACCGATGCTTTGGCAGCTGCTATCGTCGGGGCGGCATGTGGCTGCCCGGGAGCCCAATAATCGGTTTAGATTAGGGTTTAAGATTTAGGGTTAGGGAGCCATTTAGGGCGTTCTGGGGTTCTTCGGGGCGTAAGGCGTTGAAACCCATTTTTGGGCCGGCTCTGTTTTGGCTTCAGAGGGATTGAAACTGTCAGTTCTTTTCATACCTGCCAGGTACGGGGCTTGACGGATTGAGGTTTTTGTCTGCCTTTTTTTCTACGTTCAGGCAGCACAGTGCTCAAGGACTAGAGGTACCGGTAACAACCCTAAACCCTAAACCCTACACCCTAAACCGTGGCTCTGCTTTGTAGGGGTCAGGTGTAAGGTTGCTTTTGGGGCTTTTGGCCTCAGGCTTTACAGGCGATGCTGGGATGTGGTACTTCGGGGTTTAGGGTTTAGGGTTTAGGGTTTAGGGGTTTAGGGTTTAGGGGTTTAAAGTTTAGGGTTTAGGGTTTAGGGGTTTAGGGGTTTAGG